AAATTTCTTGAACCTTTAAACATTGTTTTAAATTGATTTCCTTCCCATAGAAATCAAGGAGTATTCACTTGAGGTTTGGTTAAGTTCAAGTTGGGGAGAATGAAAAGGAAAATGGTAGGTTGCTAAAAATTTTAAAAAATTTCAAGCAAGCATTGAAAAGAAAAAGTGTGAATATGAATGTGAAAAACAAAAGAAAAAGAATGCTTGTTTGAAAAAGAAAAATAGAGAATGAAATAATTGTGCAAAAGGAAGTTTGAGAAGGTTTGCAACAGAGAAAATAAAATGGTGAAAAGAAGTTGGGATGTGTAAATAACTTGTATAGTGAATGTTTCTTTTGCATTGACAATTTTGATTTAATAGCCTAAAGAAATTTACCTTTGTTGTGAACCCGACCAAGCTACAATCTTAAAAGCCCTTAGTGATCTTTTTGGTTCCATGTTTTCATTTTAATTAGTAGATGAATGTATGAATTGGATTGTTATTAACATTGTTTATCAGGTGAGTGAAATTACCCCGCGGTTGCAAACACATTAATTTCTTCATCCATATTTTGAAGAAGAGTGTTAGAGTGATTCAAGTATGAGAATTCAGTTGTTATTTGAAACATTACATAATATTTGTTTAAGAGCTAAATTCTTTGTCATTGTTCGATTCTATTGAGTGGTGAACATTGCTTGTTCGCGTTCTCTTACTTGACTAAATCCTCTTATTTGAGAAAATCTTTCTTGTTTGAATTTGAACCGTTAATCCTTTCTTGGTTGAATCTTATGCTTGAGCAAATCCTTTTGTGTGAGAAAATATATTTTGTTTTCATGAGGGGCATACTTTGCTTGAGGACAAGAAAAAATCTAGTTGGGGAGAGTTTGTTAAGTGAAAATTTTGACTTAAATTGAACCATCTTTCTTGGCATTTTTCAACTCAATTCTCGTGTTTTAATAGATTTGCTTCTTGTTCTTGTGTGATTCTTCGATTATATTACAAATACCTTTGGATTCGTTGATGTGTGTGTTATTATACAAAATATAGGTATAAAACATCAATAATTAAGACACAAAGGATTAGACAAGGAAGTCAAGGAAATGAAAAAGAATCAGCATGTTCGCCGAGCGAACAACAATGAGCAGCCAACGAACATTCGCTGAGTGAAGTTGCAGCAAAGCCCCAGCGAACCAGCCCAGATTAGAGGCAGTAGTAAAAGGACGCAAAGTTCGCTGGGCGAAGTTGAAGCGAAGAGGTTCGTTGTGCGGAGAAGTGCTCGCACGACGAAATCAGATATTTTCCAATGGCGGTTTAATTGTTCCTGAGGCACTTTAAGTGCCCAAAAGTAGTCTTCGCATGGCGAAGCATGTGTTCGCTGGGCGAACAAGACATATTTTAGTTTACTATATATGTACTTTTTCTCACTTTTTAGAGAGAACTTTTTGTAGAACTTTCATAACTTGTACTTTATCAGATCAAAACTTTATCTCTCTTCATTTCTTTGCATATTCTAGAGAAAGAAACACAAACCCTTAGGGGGAGAAGGTAAGATCTTCAATCTCTTGTTGGGTATTGGATGTAATATTTTGATACCTTATGTATTTCATCTATTATATATATTGTGAACTAGTTTTGATTCAATATTAATGTTATCTTTGATTTCTTATTTGTGGGTCTTGACAAATTTTTTTTCAAATCTTTGATCTAAGATACTCATCTATCAATGAGCAAACTTTTGACATAGTCTTGTAAGTTGATATTCACTAGTATCACTTTTATTTTATTGTGTTGATTAGTAAGCATGAGTAGGATCAATATGGTATTGTGAGGATGTGTGATAATAGAGATGAAGTACTATGTTCACTTGCATTTGGAAAATTAGTTGAATGCATGTAAAAAGGGTTAAATATGTATATATTCTGGTCATGGCGTTTTATATGAATCAATCATGGATCTTATATGGGTGTCATATTTGTTTACTTGTTTATCTTTGACTTGAACCGTTATAGAAATATACTCTTCAGATCTAGATCTATGATAATTATTTGTTAGGTTCTAGACTCTAGACATAGATTTAGGATTAACATTTTCTTAAGTATCAGTTCTTAATGCTTTGTGTTGTTGAGTTGTATGATACATCACCAATGAGACAATACGGTTGTTCTCTTGATGTTGCGTTAGACATAACCTCTATTGTGGGTGATACGTGAGGACATTAGACGAATGGTTGATTTGTGTTTAATTGGTTAGAAGAATGCATGTGTTATGAATTGATGAGATCCAATCTCAACAAGGCTCTGTTTATATTAAAGTCTTTACTTTATATTTTTCACCTTTATTTTATGCCTTTATTTATGGTACCGTTGATCTTTCAACAAATTTTCACAACAAGCTTAGAAATGTAGAGACCGTTGAATGACATTCTTTCTCTTGCACTGATCCCTGTGGAGACGATATAAATCTTGGAGGGAATCCTTCCAAAACTAAATTTTTGTTTCTTATCGCTTTACTACTGTTCGTATAGTGCCTGATCTGTTAACTTGGAAAGGAAATTTAGATAGTATTTATACTTCCCGTGATGGTTAGAAGTGGCTCAATACGACTGACAGTAACTTTTGGATGTGTGTGTGGCATATTCATGCTCTTGAGAAGGTGCAGTTCTTCCGTTGGACGAATTTACATAAGTCCTTACTTCGAGATCGATGTTGTGTCATCGTGGTATGTTCTAGACAGATCTCTACCATAAATGCAATCAGGATGCTGAGATGACTCTACACTACCTGAGAGATTGTGAATTTGCTACTCGCTTTTGGAAATTTATTGGCTTCTTGAACCCACTATTTTTCCAAGGGGATAATTTATATGATTGGATTAGACATGACATCGATGATGGTTCTATATTTTTGGTTGCTTGCTGGTGGTTGTGGCACACTAGGAACAATTTGTGTTTTCATAATGAATTGGTATCTTCCTATACTTTGAAACTGATCACAATGAATTATGCTAATTTGTTAGCTAAATATTTTCTCAAGTATTGTCTCATCCAATGAGAATGATCATGTGGAATGAACACAATGTAGCAATATGATTTTGAATGTTGATTGTAATAGCCTCAGTAGTCCTAGCGTCTCTATTTTTGGTGGATTGATTCGAAATGCTAATGGTGTTTCGGTTCACGGTTTTGCGGGTAATATTAGTTACTCTAACATCCTTCATGGTGAGTGATTGCGCTATATCATGATTTACGTATGGCTTGGGAATTTGACATTGAAGACTAGATGTGTTATTTTGACTATAACTCTACAATCAAACTTATCACAAAGTCGGTTAATGTTTGACATCACTATGTCGCGATTCTCCACAACATTAAATAGCTCCTCCTTAAGAAATGATGAGTTCAAATATTTCATACTCTTAAAGAAAAGAATGTTTATGTTAAAGTTGGTAATGATGTGGCATATCCGTCTTTTGCAGAGTCAGTTATAGAAATCATCACCTCACTTACTAACTGACATTAGTAGAACTTTATTTTCTAAACTATTTTTCTTCCTTTTACCACTGTACCAAAAGAAAAATATTCAAATTCAAATATTTCAAATATTTTCAATAAAAAAAAGTAAGATTCTGTTTGAATTTAAAGTAATGAGATAAATTTCAAAAATTAAATAAAGTAGAGAATCAAATTTACAATTAAATTATTTTATTAAACACATTAACAAAAACTAAATATATAATAATAATAATAATAATAATAATAATAATAATAATAATAATAATAATATTTAACTTTAAATTTAGTTTATGTAATGAAAAAATTAATTAAAAAAACTAATTATAAAAATACTAATTAATTACTTTGTTAACTCATCTAACGTAAACTTCTATACAATACAATATATAAAGAGAATACTTTGTTTTGGTGTGACTTATTTTTCTATCATTTTTATCCTTACTTTATTATATAATTTATTTAATAACTTTTTATCATTAACTTTCACATAACTTTTTATTATTAACTTTCACATATCGTATTTTAAAAAAAAATTATTTAAACAAAAAATATCATTTATATTTCCATTCATGTGCATTAAAAAAGCGGACAAACGCTAGTAATTATATAATAATTATACATAGAAATTCGAATAAACACAAGTTCAAATAAATAATATGTGAAATTTTAATCATTAAATATTAAATACAAAAGAGTCATGCTAAATACTATTTTCGAACTGGCAAAAAATTTAAAATATAAAATTTAATATGTATTCAGTTCGTTGAATAGACATAATATTTTTTTTAAAGTTAATTATTTTTGTTTTTAATGTATTGAATGCACATAATTAAATTTTTTTTTTAATTTTTTAAAAATGCTCGACTTACTTTTTAAATTTCTTAACGAATTAATATTTAAATTTGTATTACATAGAATTTTACAAATTAATCAAATAAAATAATTTTGAATCAAAATATAAAATAAATATAATATTTTTTTACCAAAAAATAAAATATTAGCTAAATGAACTATCCTACCAATTACATTATTAATTAAATAATTATATTGAAAACACACTTCTTTGTACATTGCTTCTCACCAAAACTTCAGTTTTCCATAAAACAGAATCATATCTACACCACAAATTATTCTGATTAGATTCATCAAGAAATTCAAAGTTATCATGTTCATTCTTTTTCTTTTAGAAAAAGTTAAATGATAACATATTTTATTTCATTTCTTTTTTAAAAAATTAAAACTTTAACCATTTTATTCCAATTTTCAAAATTCAATTCATCTACTAGATAAAAAGATTCTCCAAACACATAAAGAATAAAATAAAACCACAAAAAAAAATTAATTTAATTATCACTCTACTAAATTTGTTTTTTCTTCATGTCACTCTATTATAAATAGGTTCATATCTCACACTTTCTTTTAATCCTTACAAAAAGCCAGAGATTCCTCTGTAGCTATCTTTCAACAAAACTGTGTTCTTCTTCTTCCTTCAAAGCTTTTCATTATCATCATGTCTTCACTTTCAGATCTCATCAATTTTAACCTTTCAGATTCCACAGAAAAAATCATTGCTGAATACATATGGTGAGTTTTTAAGCTTCTTCGTTCTTCTCAAAACAGAGTTTTTTTTCCTCCTGAAACAGAGTACTCTGTTTTTGTGCTATGTTAACCTTATCGAAACAGAGGATACTCTGTTTTTTTTCCTTCTGAAACAGAGTACTCTGTTTTTTATGTTAGGTTATTTATGTAATATAAAAATCTTTTTTATAAATAGTAATTAACTAAAAAAAAATGGAACCCTTTTGTGTATATATTATTCAATCTGATTCTAGTATATTATAAATTAAAAAAGTTGATTCTTTTAGGACTATTGTTTTAGATAAAAATTAATTTTTTTTATGTGAATGTAAACAGGGTTGGTGGATCTGGCATAGACATTAGAAGCAAAGCCAGGGTAATTTATTTATTTTTTGTTTATTTATAGTTTATTATTAATCATTATATAAAATTTTATTATATTTATCATACTAATTTTTAATTTATTTTGTGTGGTTTTTAATAGACTCTTCCTGGCCCAGTGAGTGACCCTGCAAAACTTCCTAAGTGGAACTATGATGGGTCTAGCACAAATCAAGCACCAGGAAAAGATAGTGAAGTTATTTTATAGTATGATTAATTAAATTCACTAATTAATTAATTAATCACTTTTTAAAAAAAGTTATTTTTCCAAGAAACTTATGAGAGTTTCTTTGTTTTTTGTATTTTTGTGTTTATTTGATGAAAAAGTCCACAAGCTATTTTCAAGGACCCATTCAGAAGAGGGAATAATATTCTTGTAAGTTGTTCATTTTTATTTTTGTGAAATAATTGAGTTATTACTTATAAATTGATTAAAAAAATGGGTTCAAGTTTATTTAATTATATTAAAAAAATTAACTTTGTGGAAAAAATATTTAGGTGATTTGTGATGTTTACACCCCAGCTGGAGAACCATTACCAACAAATAAGAGATACAATGCTGCCAAAATTTTCAGTCACCCTGATGTTGCTGCTGAAGTACCATGGTATGTGTGTCTTCTTTCTAGAGTCCCATTTTTGTCACATTTACACTGTCAAAATATAAAACATATTTATGAAAAATATATTTATAAAAATATTCCAAAAATAACAATTACAAAAACTTTAATGTGTATTTTTTTTATTGATTATATGAACAGGTATGGTATTGAACAAGAGTATACTTTATTACAGAAAGACATCAATTGGCCACTAGGTTGGCCTATTGGTGGATATCCAGGAAAACAGGCATGAAAAAAAAATTTCTTTAATTTTTCTTCAATATTTTTCCATATTGAAGCTTATTTTTTGTAATTATTAATTATTTGTATATTAATAGGGTCCATATTATTGTGGAATTGGTGCTGATAAAGCTTATGGACGTGACATTGTTGATGCACATTACAAAGCATGTCTTTTTGCTGGCATTAACATTAGTGGCATCAATGGAGAGGTTATGCCTGGGCAGGTATGTGATGATTTGTTATACATTTGCATATAATATAATATAATATTGAATGATAATTTATTTTATGTTATGTTTTATTATTATTATTTTATTGATTTTTATTTAAAATTAAATATTTTTAATTATTTGTAAAAATTTATTTTAGTGGGAATTTCAAGTTGGACCTTCTGTTGGTATCTCTGCTGGAGATGAGATATGGGCTGCTCGTTATATTCTAGAGGTAATTTAATTTACATTTTTTTATTGATTTATTATTTTTATTTTTTTGAAAGGTTATATATGATTAAGATAATTTGTGAAAGTCAATAAAAATATTTATATTGATGAAATTTTTGTATTTTATATTACAGAGGATCACAGAGATTGCTGGAGTTGTTGTTTCATTTGACCCAAAGCCTATTCCGGTTAGAATATATATATTTTAATTATTATTTTTTACACTTGTTGAAAATTTTTCCTTTTTCAAGAAAATTTTTGTTTCTATGTTAACCTTTTATTTTATTACATTGATATTATTATTAGGGTGATTGGAATGGAGCTGGGGCTCATGCAAACTTCAGGTATAATATCATGCCCTAAAACTTGGAGTTTCTATTTACATTTGAAAAAACATACTATTTGGCGATTTTTCGAGTTAACTAGCGGTTTTACTTGTTATTTTGTATTGTCAATTTTAGCACCAAATCAATGAGAGAAAATGGAGGCTATGAGGTGATCAAGAAGGCCATTGAAAAACTCGGATTGAGGCACAAGGAACACATTGCAGCTTATGGAGAAGGAAATGAGAGACGTCTTACTGGAAAACATGAAACCGCCGATATCAACACCTTCTCTTGGGTAAGTCGAAATAAAAAAACCCTAACTAAAAATATTTATACACATACATGAAACCGTCGATATCAACACCATCTTCTAAATAAATCGAAATAAAAACCCTAACTTTAAAATCTACTCGCATTATGTTTTTAGTTGTCAATTTTAGGGAATTTTTGTACCCTAACTTGAAGATTTTCTGTGTAGGGTGTGGCAAACCGTGGAAGCTCAATTAGGGTTGGAAGAGACACAGAAAAAGATGGAAAAGGTTACTTTGAGGATAGAAGGCCAGCATCTAACATGGATCCCTATGTGGTCACTTCCATGATTGCTGAAACCACCATTCTCTGGAAGAAGCCATGAAGTTCCAACCACCATGTCTTTGGATTTACACCACTACATATAATGAGTCCAATGCCATTTATCTAGTTTATATATTATTATTGTTATTATTATAATATCTATTATTATGCAAAAGTGTTACTTCATTAGAAGTAATTTTCAAGTGGTCTTTAAGCAAAAGAGTATATGGTCCATATATGTATTTGGATTACAATAATTTTATCATCAATAATATGTGGTGCTTCTTCATTTTTCTCTTTGAGTTTATGGATCAATAATGCAATGTTTATTGTTTTGTACTCAATGTGTTGTTCTTTTAGGGAAAGCTGGACCATTAAAATGCTCTTCAATTTATGGTATACAAATATTTAAAGGATAATTAAAATTCTCTATGAGGAAATTATTCTTTTTTAGATAAAGACGGAACATGAACTCGATTTTAAATAATAATAAAAAATTATATATATATTTTTATACTTTATTTGTATTTATATTAAAATTTGAATTTTTGAATTTTTATTTGTATTTCATTAAAATTTGAAATTTTGAATTTTAGAACATTAGAGATATTTATGTTGGAGAGTCCGAGAGGGTTAGAGCAACATTAAGTCTAATGATTTAAGATTATAAGAATGAAGATATTACATCTTTATGTAAAATATTAACACATCAAGTAAACGTGCATGTTTTCTTTTTTATATATATTTTTTATAAATCTACCGTTCTTTTCATTCACATGAATTTTAACTATTCACACTTGAATTTAATGATCTTCTTATAAGTGTGAGTTAATTTTTTTCCTAATAGGATTCTACATAGGATATACTTCTTGTTTTTCTATCAAGTCGAACTAGTAATATTACTTATTGAGGAGTTTGGAAAAGAACAATAAAATTAATCTTCTAAGACCACAAGGAAGTCGTCACATTTATAAAACTTTAAGGCATAAAATATATAGGTTTGTTGGGATTAGCATCTATTAGGTTTAAATTTGAGTGGTTAAAATTTTGTAGCTGCTCCTGAATAAATAAATATTGAATGAATAAGAGATATAACCTATATAATTGATATTTTATTATTTTGAGTGTAGATGTGATGTTTTTTCTCTTGTGATTTTAGAGTATTGATTTTGTTGTTACTTTTAATTTTTTTTTTTTGACCTTTTAAGTAAATTGTATAACAACATCTATGGTTCGATTTGATAGAGGAGCACGGACTTTATTAAAAGTAGGAACTCACATTTGTGAAAAAAATTATTAAATTTAAGTTGAATGAGTAAAGTTTACATTACTATAAATAATTTTTCTTTTATAAGAGAAATTGCATTAATGCGAGCATAAGGGTACAAAAGGGAAAACTAAGAAAATAGAAGAAATTCAACTATACTAGTGAATACATACTAAGAGACTCAAAAGCTAACCCTTTGTATCAAATACGATAGATCCTTTGGATCTCGTTTCGAACCAGTCACATGATAGAGATTTAGCCAACAATACAATATCGTTCAAACTTTTATGTTCTCCCTTAAAGAGGATGTCGTTTCTAACTAATCAAATAGACTAAATAACTGAGAGCCAAAACATGAGATGGAAATTCTTCTTGATCCTTCCTTTCATGAGGGTTCCAAAGGCCTTCAAATGATCTAAAATCACAACACAAAGGTACGTCTGACAATGACCGATCCATTCCAAAATAAGCTACCACACATGAGTTGCCGTGAGACATAGAAGAAAGAGGTGCAAATGAGTTTCTAGAGGTTCCATACAAAGTGGACACACAAGGTTATGTGAATCACTATGGACCCCTTATTTAGCAAGTTTGTCCCCATTTTTTAGCCTATTAAGAAGAAGTCTCCAAGAAAAGACTTGAATGTTGCCAGAAACATTTGATTTTCACAAAAGCTTCAGAGCACTTGGCAATTCGAAATCCACTTGGGAACCTACAATAGATAAATTTTCCATCCAAGAATAAGTAGACTTAACCGAATAACCCATAGCTCCACGCAATCATACAAATGCATAAGCTAAGACATGGTTATGATTAACACTAATTACAATATTTTGAAGATCCTCCCAATCACTCTTTGAGGTACCCGATAGATGATCATAATTAATCTTCACTTTCCAGATTTAAACACCATCGATCCAATGTCCTGAGCCACCGTCTTTTGGTGTAGAATCGTGCATAAAAATAAAAAAAACCAGGGACCAGCAGTTTCAGAGAATCTGAACTGAGCCATCTATGTCTCCAGAAGTCGATTTCTAAACCATTTCCCAATTTACAGGATATCCTATTTTCAAACCAATTTGAATCCACCCCCTAAATACCCAATGAAGGCCTTAGGTCTCTCCACCAAATCAATTATTTCATCTTGTTAACAGAGCAAGAAGAATCAATGATTAATCCTTTGACATTACCATATTTAAAGGATAAAAGTGAGTACCAAACTGTATGATCTGAGATAGTTTTCTATGCCAATTTACTTAGCAGTGCCATGTTGAAGGATTCATAATGCATAACCCCTAAATCCCCTTCCATTTTTAATTTACTGATTGTAGACCAAGAGACCCAACCTAGATCTTTTTAATATTAGCTATTGAAATCTCTCCTTGAAATGATTGAAGGAAAGATATTTGATTCCTTCAACATGATTAATTAGAGTGTCTTCTGATTTTAAGGCCACAATACCATTGCACCTGAACTAAGACTTCATGAAGGATTGGAAAAACTTAAAGTTTTGGTCGCCTTTCCTAAGACATATATTTAACGCCCGTTTTACTTCAATTAAATTCAATTATGACTTTGCTATGTCTCGTTGCATCGTAGTCGTAGTTGAGTATGTGTTTGGAGCGAAGAAAGGAATTGAATCGGTCGAATTGTCGGAAAAATTCTGGTTTTGTCAGAAAACTTCGAAAATTCATATCTCTTGATCCGTAAGTCGGATTTGACCCCCGTTCGAAGCGTTGGAAAGCTAAAAGGATGTTCTATCTGGAAAAAAAATGAAATTTTGATGCTATGACGACCGTCATAGGAGTGTGACGACTGTCACACGAGCGAAAACTGCAGTTATGCAGAATTTGAACGTGTTCTGGTGGAATGAGATTTTGTAGCAAAAATATATTCCCGTAGACTCTTTTACCCTCAATTACATCATTTTTTGGGAAAGGAAAGACGGAAAAGAGAAGTTACGAATTAAGAGAAGTGGAGAGCGAAGAATCATCCATCGGCGAATTCGGGAGATTTCTGCAGAAAGATCACCGTAGAGCAGACGCGGAATCGGAAAGCGTGGAATTGGCCTCAATTCTAAGGTAAGGGTGGGGTTCAATTCTATAACTGGGAGTATGATCGAATTCATGTGGGGAATCGAGTCATAGGTATAGTTTTCGTTAATCGATAAATATTAAGGAAAATGTTTCCCTAATGGGACAAGATTTCTATGTAGGAATGAATGTGTTATGTAGTTATTAGTGCGATGCTCTAAGGTTTTCCTTATGGGCAAATACGTAGAACGAATATGCTATACGATTATTTGTACAACGCTCTAATGGTTTTCCCTAATGGGCCAAAAAGGGCGGTTACCTGGTTGTGATTGATTTGTAATTAATTGTGTGAGAAAACGCCGTAATGTTGTTATTACGATAATATGCTGAATTCTTAATTGTTGATACGATGTTGTAATGTTCCTTTACATGAATAGTTGAGATGATGAACATATGATGCATATGAAATAGCAATGTTCTGTTATGGACGTTTTGTTGTAGGCTTGATGCCTTGTTGCATAGTTGGTGATGTTGTGGTCCATAATAGAGGTATTTCATGGCATAGCATATTAGCGATGACCTGTATTGGCGGCCCTTAGTGGCAAATTTTGCGATGGCCTGTATTGGCGGCCTTGATGGCAAATTGGTACCACATGCATATGCACAGTTGAGTCGCATTATTGAGTCACATGAAGTTGCATAATTATGTTAGTTGTATATTAATGTTGTTTTACGTGAGATATGGATTGTTGCAGTTGTAGTCGATGATGTTTATTATTTCGAAACTTATAATGTTGTGATGAGTTTCTGGCATGTTTTCTATCATGCTCTATGTTATATTATGGATATCTCACCCTTTTCTGTTGTATGTTACCTCCTCTGGTGGTAATTTGCAGGTAGCCAGGTATAGAGCGTAGTTCCCATTAAGGTGTCGTTGGTCGCTCTGATACGTAGCACTCTTGGGAGGATGGACGATTGCTATTATTATTTTAGTCGATGTTATTGTTGATTGAACTTGTTACGATGTTTTATTAAATTGTTTTAAGAGAACATGTTGTATACTTTATCGAACTTCCACCGGAAGCAATGACGATTTGTTTTATGATTAAATGGTTAAGTAATACATTGATGATTGTTCATCCAATTTCGTGCTACGTATGAGATTTGCAGTTTGTTGCATAATGAATGTTGTCTGTCAGGTTGAAGTGTAACATCTCTGATGTGAAGAATTTTTCCCGTGTGACGACCGTCAGAGGTTCATGACAATCGTCATGCAGTCAAAGTTTGCGCTGCTGCGCTTTGTTTGTTATATGAGTTGTTGTTTTTCCTGTTATCCGCAAGTGTTAGAGTTGGGGTGTTACATTAGTGGTATCAGAGCAGGTCGGTCCGTCCGGCCAAGTTGTTTAGTGTCGTCGCGTCAGTCGTCGTGCCTAGCACTAGAGTCTCGTTAATTGTGAAATCTGACTGTTGGTTGTTGCAGCTTAAGTGAAATGGCTGGGAGGAATGATGCTGCAATTGCTGCTGCTCTGCAAGCTTTAGCTAATGCTATGGAACATCAGCCGAATCCTGCTGGAGATGTTGGGTCTCGCAGTTTGGCAACGTTTCAACGGGAGAATCCGCCTACCTTCAAGGGTAAGCATGATCCTGATGGTGCATTGGAGTGGTTAAAGGAAATGGAGCGAATCTTTCATGTGATGGATTGTACTCTAGCACAGAAGGTCCGTTATGGGACTCATATGCTAGCGGTAGAAGCTGATGACT